TTCTTCTTCTTCTTCTTCTTCTTCTTCTTCTTCTTCTTCTTTTTCTTCTTCTTCTTCTTCTCAAGATGCACATCCCAGTCTCTAGAGCGAAGGCTCTGCTGTTCGCCGCAGGTCTCCTGGCTCCTGCAGAATTTTGGGTCTCTCTACTGCCTGTGGTTCGGCCAATATTTCCTTCTGAGCAGTCTATCTATCTATTTACCGTATATTCAAAAAGACCCCGATCCCATCGTGCAAATCAAACAAGTTAACAAGTGCAAATACCCGGGCTACATGATAACATCAGATGGAAAATGTCCACGAAACCGAATCGCCTCAGCGGGAGGCCCCAAAAAGATGGCCCCAAACATGCCGTGCTAGACACATTCCAACGGCAGCATAACTCAGAGTATTGAAGGCATTATTTGATCTGTTCCTTTCTATAGGTGTGAGTGCTAAAACAATCAACAAACTATAGTAACAGAAAATTAAAAGCAACAAAAATTCAGAATATCATGGACACAATATGTTTCTTTTCTTTTCTTTTTTTTTCAATGTAAGTGTTTTTACGCCCCATCGAATAAATTTAGATCATTTGAGGGGGCATGCTTCCAACCCTGCCAGTCAGGAGTCTGGGCCAATACGGGCTGATAGGGATACAAAATCCCAGTAGAAAGACCACAGAGATACTCAATAAAAATTCTCCCCACTCGGGAACCGAAATCAGGTCTCCTGCGTGCGACAGCGAAACGCCTAACCGCTGCACCACAGACTACGGTGTGCACGAAAGTCGGGAAAAACACCAAGACGTACTGGGAATGACAAACGTTAAAAGATCCTTTATCGAGACAAAATAGGAGGCGACAGATTACATTTTTGGGTCATGTATACTATGCAGAAAAGTAGGGCCGGAACAAGTATAGGCATAAGATTGACAGAAAAAAATCGAAGGGAAGAAAAACCGAGGACGCCAAAGCACAAGACTCATAAAAAAGAAGCGAGAACACCTGGGCAAACAACACAAATCGCTACCTCACAATTATACATATACAATATACATAGCTATTATATGCGTAGTACTTTGTTTTACGTACACGCATGTGGATTTATTTTTAAAATGTGATGTCTTTTTCGATGTAATGCGCATTTAGCATTTGTTTAGAAAAAGGAAATGCGCAGTATAAACGCTATTTATTATTCTTATTATCATTACTAATTACAACGTTCTACATTTATCTGCTCAGTACCTAGTTTTTGAGGAAATCTGATGAAAGAAAAACTTTTAGTTTCCCAATATGTCAAGCTTTTTCGAATGCAATTCGTTGAATATTTTGATAACGGCTCTGAATAAACTTAAGATTTTGTA